ACCTAATTATTTTAGTCATTACTCTCTTCCCAGCGGCTAACAGCTCGGGTTGCAAGACGCTGGGGATCCACCAGCCTATAGAGGGCCAGCTCCTGGGCCAGGTGTTCACCTCTGTCCAATCAGAGGCCTGGCACTTCCCTGGGCTGGGCCTAGGGCAGGACTTTCTGAGAATGGGGTGTACAGGAGCAAGTGCCGTGGCTGACAGATCCCTACAGAGGCCTGAGGTCAAGTGGTCTTTCATTTTCACACCTACCTCACCCTCTATTGGATGGAGTGGGCTTTCTTCAAATACATCTTTGCCCCGCCCACTCTCCCACTGCCATGGAGACCATCCTGTCTGAGCCATAGGCAGCAGCCTCTTGACTTCGACCTGGTCCACCAGTGTTCATTCCAAACGCATACCCTCTTCAGTGATTTCTCCTGACACTCAGAAGGAACCCACTCTCCTTACCGCTTGTTCCTCATTCTCCTCTCCTTCTCTGCCTCCGCCACACCCACAAGGCTTTGCCACTCCCAAGCTCCTCCCTGGCCTGGGATCGCTGCGTTCTAGCATTCACCAGTGCACCCCTTGCCACCTAACCCGTCCTGCACCCTAACCCCTGTCCTGCACGGAGAGGCCGGGCAGGCTCTGAGCTCACGGTCTAAATCTCTCTTCTGATATTCGCTCTTGCCCCACCCAAGCACTCACCACAACTTCTATTTTCCCTGCATGCTTGTTTAAGATTCATCTCCCCTGCTGGAAGGTCATCTGAGAGGCCAGGGCTGTGTCCATCTTGTTCCATGTTGAACTCCTAGGGCCTAGCAGTGTCTGGTACTTACAACCAAAACCAAACTCACTGCTGTCGAGTCGATTCTGTTAGCAACCCCTCCTTGGTTTTCCGAGGTGTATCTCTACGAAGTAGGTTGCCCAATCTTCCTTCCAAGGAGTGACTGGTGGGTTTGAACCACCACCCTTCTGGTTAGCAGTCAAATGCCTTAGGCTCTACGCCACCAGAGCTTCCTCTGGTAACTATACCAGGCTTTGATAAATGTTGTGGCTGCTCAGAGCCACTGACTTTAAGAACAGGTCCTGTGCACATATGCATGGAACAGCATGAATAGTCTGCAAGGAAATGGGCCAAGCTCCTGATCTTGGTTACCTGTAGGGCTGAAGGGGCCAGGTCAGGGAATGGTGATGGTGTTTGTGTGTGCCCATGCATATGTGGAAGTTGGGGGCTTTGGCTTCACATGTAATGGTTTTATTTTCTAAAAGAATATATTTATAGGCGCTTTGGTGACACTGTGCTTAAGCCATTGGGCTATTAATCAAAAAGTTGTTGTTGTTATGTGCCATCGAGTCAGACCCGACTCATAGTGACCCCTCCTTGGGTTTCCGAGGCAGTATCACTACAGAAATAGATTGCCCAAAATCAGAGAGTAGGTAGTTCAAACCCACCAGCCGCTCCATGGGAGGAGGATGAAGCAATCTGATTCCACAAATTTACAGCCTTGGAAATCTGATTGGGTTGCTATGAATCAGAATTGCCTCTGTGGCAGTGGGTTTTGTGTAACTAAAAATGGACTAACCGATCATGAGCAAATGCAATATGGTCCAGGTCAGGGAAGACACAGGAGGTGGGCAATTCCAAGCCGTGCTCACAAGACGCAAAGAAATCCAGGACACACTTGCAATTCCCTGGTGGGTTTGGAGTCTTTGCTTTATTACTATGTCACCAGAAGTCACCACCTTCACTTGGTTCACCACAAATGGACGGGTGTCATAAACAGGGTGCCACAGGGCCACTGGACTCATTCTTGAGACTGCACTAGGTGGTGGGGAGTCTAGAGTGAGGGTCTGGGTGGGACCGCCTTTCACCACACACACACACATACACACATACACACAGATATATTTGTGGAGCCTTATATTATACATCTTATATATAGAAAATATATATATTTATACTATACACAGGCAGTAACGCTGCGGAAGGGGCCGGGGTACCCAGACAAGGACTGTGGGCACCTGGGGATGGGGCATGTCAGGTCAGGGGCAGCACTGGGAGATGGCTGGACCAGTCCATCCTCCCAAAAACTTTTAGGAGGGTTGTTTTCCCTTCGTGCTCCTTGGAGAATCAAAGGGGTCTTGGGCTAAGGTTGGAAGGGTGCTTGAGGGGTAACAAGTAGGGGCTCTTGGTTACATAGGGGGAAGCCTGAGGCCCCCCAAGTCTTTGAAGATCAAGAATCACCAGGGAAGGATGGAGTGAGTGGGAAACCGGTACCATTCCCCTGGGAATTAGCCCCTCAGTGGTTACACCCCCCAGCCAGAGCTAGACAGGGGCCACACAGGCAAGAGTCTGTGACTGAATGAGAAGAGTGTGAACTCAGAAGGCAGGAGACCTGGCTCCCAGCCCCCCCAGCTCTGCACTGTGACCTTGGACAAGTCACTGCCCTCCACCCCAGACTCCACCATTTCTAAGGGTCCTTGTTGTGTGGAACCCAAGTGTCCTGGGCCCTATCTTGTGCTTGGTTGGGGGGAAGGGACTCGGACTCTGCAAGGCCAGGCTGCAGCAGGGGCCTTCTCCAAGGAATGGCTTGGAAGCAAGGTCGAGGCAGAGAGGGCATTGGGAGGGAAGAGGAGATACTGCTGCCTCCAAGCCCAGGCTCTGAGCTTGAGGCTCCAGGAGGGTGTCTTCAGTCAGCCTCCCAGGAACAGAGTCAGGAGGCCTGAATTCCATCCAAACCCTGCCCTTTCCTGCTGCTGTTCTGAGACATCTCTTGCCCTCTCTGCATGTTTCCATCACCACTGCAAGGCTGGTCCCTGCCAGTGCCCAGCCTGATGGTCGGCCCATGTGTGGGGACAGTATCGGCTGCACCCCCAGGAGGGCAGGGGCTCCCTAGTGAGATGATTTGGCACCACTCCTGCCAGCAGGAAGGAGGTCTTGTAACCTTCTCCCGCGGGGGGGTGGGGCAGGAGGATCTATAATAAACAGTCTGGGAGGTTTAAGGGGTACCCTGCCCTCCGGCCTCGTATCATGACCCCATTATATGGGAGAAGTAATGGAGACCTGCAGACGGCACCATCTGCACGCAGCTGGCTGGTGCCCAGGAGCACGCTGGGGTCTCCTCGTGCCCACAGGCAGGGGCGTGCTGTGGTGGGCAGTGGGCAAAGAACCTCACTCTGCTGGAAACGTCACGTCCATCCACCCCCTCGCTGGCTTCTGAAGCCCCTGGTCTGGTTCACACGCCACTGCTGAGGCTGGAGGTACTCAGCCCCATCTGGGTCCCCTCAAGCCACTAGGGGGATGGAGAGGCATGGACAGAGCTCCTTCCCTAGCCTTAGGAGATGGATGTTGGCCACAACCAGGTGCCACCTGGCTGTCTGAGGCCCTGTCCTGTTCCTGCTGCCCTTGGGCCTCCAACCGACCTGAGTGCAAACACATGCTCCATTGCTAAACTCACTTCCACTCTCTGAGCCTCAGTTTCCCCTCCTGTGAAATGGGGATATGACGCTAGTTCTCTGCCTGGCACGTCCCTTCTCCTTCCCCCATGCCATTAACTGACTCCTGTCCATCCCTAGGGCCCTGTCCTTAATGTCACACCTGCAGTGGCCTCTTGGTGTCCTTGTTTAGTGCTCACCTTCCCTCTCAGACCGTGAACCCTGTGAGGGCAGGGGCCACACCCAACACCCAGCACAGGTCTCTGATAACTGTCTGGGGAATGAATGAGTGAGTGAGTACTACCTGCCTCTCAGGATTCTTGGCGGGGAGAACAGGCGGATGGTGGTGGTAACACCCAGTACCGTGCAAACCCACAATCCCTCGCGAGCTCCTCGCAGACCTCACTCAGCAGCCTCGAGGGCTTCTGGAGACAGGTGTAGACACTGGGCAGACAGGAGGGAGCCAGGCCACACTGCTCCACTGAAAGCTAACCTAGAATCCACCTGTGCAAGGACCCCTCCTTGACACCTTGGGCCCCCACAGTCCTCTTTGTAGTTCTGTGGACACCTGCTGCCTTCTGCTCTGCAGCCATGGCCTCCCCCAAGCGTACTAGGCATAGGGGCTCCCACCCACGTCATCCCGTGGGCTGTGTATCCCCACGGCAGTAATGCACACATGTGGACACAGAGGCTGAGCCGGCTCGGCTGGTCCAAAGTATTCGTGCTGTGCACCCTGTCTCTACCAGGGCTGGTCCCCAGCTGCCTCTGGGAGGCTGGGAAGTGCCCTGTGTCTTTGGCTGCCCCAGCTCACGACGCCCTGGCTGACCCCAGATGACAGGAGAGATGACACAGCTCCCCAAGTCAAGTTCTGTTTCCTGGAGGTCACAGGGTGAGGAATCGCAGCATCTGCTGGAGACCCTCTCTCCTTCCGGACCGCCACAGCCACCCAACCCCTGGGCAAGCACTCAGGGCGCCAGACAAATGCAGGGACAGTGCTCAGCCCTTCAGAGGCCACAGAGGTATCCCCTGAGCACCCGGGAACCAGCTTCCCATGGGACACGTGCACAAGGAGCAACACACGGTCAGGGAGACAGCCCTGGGGGGATTCTCTGTTCCACCACCTCGGTAGGGAGCCCAAGGGCCAGCAGGGGCCGCGGCAGGGGGCCGAGAGAGAGGCAGGGCGGCCCCAGCTTGAGGGGAACAGGCCCTTGCTTGCAGCAGAGTCGGGGGTTCTTAGAGCAGTGTGACCCAAGGCTGGCGAGGGCTGGAAGAGCAGGCACGGTGCAGTCCACGCCGGGCGCTGCCTCACTGCCACTGGCTGCCTGAGTGACCCTGGCCTCTTCCCCATCATGGATTGGAGAAGCCCTACTAGCAAGGCTGTACAGAGAACCGAGAGGGGTCTGTAGGTGACAGCCCCAGTGTTCCGTGGGAATTTGCACTTGCCCTATGACTTAGCCAAACCTTCTCAGAACGCCCCCTCTATCCCCTAGTCTATCCTTCCCCTCATGCCTGTCTCTGGTGCCCATGGACTTCCTCTTTATCTCATCTTTCCATCTGGGGCTGCTTCTGTCTCCTGGGCACACAGCAGGTGCTCAATGAATGCTGGATGACGTAATGAATAAATGCAGGCACCTCCTGGCCACCACCCTCTGGACCCCTGCTGGGCACATGCCCTTGGACACACTCGCATACACACAGAGACACCCCCCAAATGCCTTGCTGCCCCCATTCCACCTCAAGCCCCCTAGAACTCAGTAGGACAACTTCGAGGCTGAAGAGGCACTGGGTAGGGTGGCCTGGGAGGGAGCAGGGGGCTGGGTGTGGAGGGAGGGGGCACAGGTTCAGGGGGTAGGGCAGGCGGGAGCAGGCGGTCACTGTGGCTCAGTAGCCCTGTGACTGGTAGCCCTGGGGCTCGGTGTCAAAGGCGTTGGCCGGCTGCTGGTAGGTGCCGCCCATGCCGGCGGGGTCCGGCCCAGTGCTGGGCTCCACGTAGGGGGCGTAAGGCATGCTGGAGTCCTGGCTGGGGTCCATGTAGTCCTGGGAGAAGAGGGCCGAGTCGGCGCCAATCTGGTACCGCTGGAAGGCCAGCACAGCCTGGCCAGCCTGGGAGGAGCCGGCGAGGACGAGGACAGGAGGATAGGGATGGTTAGGGGAGAGACAGACAAGAGCACTGGGTTAGTAGCCGTTAGTTCACAGGACAAAGGCAATACAGGGTTAAAGAGCTCTAAAGAACCAAAGAGGAAACCAAGCTGGACCAAGGGCAAGGAATTCTGTCCTAGAAGCCCCCCTCAGGGGCCAGACACATTGTCCAGCTAGAAAAAAACTCAGTAGCACCACCCCTCCGCCAGCCCCCAAACCCAGAGGTCACTTTGGGCCACCAAAAATTCTAGGCCTTCCACTTTGGATTGTTCAAATGGCCCAAAGGCCTGTTGGCATCTCTTAAAAGCCACTCTCCCCAACCTCTCTTGTACCTAGGCATGATGTGACTAAGTTCTGGGACACTTCATTTTCTTCCTTTTATGCTCCAGAACCTGATGCCTGGAATGCAGATGTGATGGTTGGAGCTATCATTGCTATGCTGGTCCATGAGGACTCCTGGAGCCGTCATGCCAGCCTCGGGCTGCCTCCCCAGACCAAGACCTTATTTAAGTCAAGATTTCTATCACTTGTAACTAAATGTAATTCTAACCTAAACACTTGGTCAAAGAAGTTTGGGAAGCTGGGTTAAACAGAGTAAAACAGGTTTCAGAACCACAGAACTTGTCAGAGCCTTGGCTACTTGGTATATGCTGGGACTCCCCAAGGGGAAAGGAAATACGGCAAGCAACGTTAACCAACCGTCTCCAACCACAGACATCCTTGTTTCACAAAACTCACTTTGGGAAAGACTGTCTCTAGCACCCATGCATAATTAGGAAATTCTTGTTTGATAAAAGCAATTGCATTGTTATTAAGAACAATGACATGGACCACATGACCTTCATCAATAAGAATCATTACAAAAATAGCTTACAGGTTTATGGTCACAGCCTTCCCCAGGAAGCTGTTCAGCCAAGGAAATCTGCATGTGATGGAAAAATACTAATGCTCTACCCACCCCCATAGGAGCTCTGGTGTCATAGTGGTTAAAGCACTGGGCTGCTAACCAAAAGGTCGGCAGTTCAAACTCAGCAGCTGCTCTGAAGGAGAAAGATGAGGTGGTCTGCTTCTGTAAAGATCCACAACCTTGGAAACCCTATAGGGCAGTTCTACTCTGTCCCCTAGGGGTGCTGTGAGTTGGAATCGACTCAGTGGCAGTGGGTTTTTGGGGTACTCACCCCCATTTTGGAGCTGGGGAGACTGAGACCTAGAGAAGGGTGGAGCAGATTGTGAGGGTCCTGCTCCTTGCCAGGCCTGGGCCCTCCCTGTCTCCTTGCCTTTGATCAGTCTCCTACCAAGGCACTGAGTTAACCAGGGACCCCAAAGGGTCACCGGGTGAAAGCTAGGGAGAGAAGTGTGCTTAGTGTTTTATTCCAGAAAGTTCCAGAAGTCCAGTGACTAGGCATTAGTTTTTGATTTGTGCCAACTGAGGAAAGCTCTGAGGGGCAGCCTTCCCTGCGAAGTGGCTGTTTAAAGTCAAGTGCTGGGGCCTGGGAAAAGGAGACCAGGTCTAAAGGGGTTGGGCCGTGGGAAATTAGCATGGCCTACTTGGGCTTTTCCACAATGTTGCCATGAGGTCCAGACCACTGGAGGCTCTGAGAGCCAGAGCCTTGAGAAGCAGGGGAGGCAGTGAGCGCCCGTGGGAAGAAGTGAAGTCTTAGGCCCCCTTCCTGAGCCGTGGGCAAGCCCACAAAAGCATGCAGGGAATGAATGAAAGGTTTGCAGACTCACTTTCCCAGAATGCCCTGTTTCACGGTCTAGGCTCGTTTCCTGCAGGAGGCAGAGAGCTGGGCCAGGTGATCTCTGTGGACACTTCTAGGGAAAAGGCCTCTGGCTACAGGCTCCTAGTGCTGTCTTCGAGGTCACTCCTCTGCCCTTATGAGTCAAGCTCCACCTTGGCTCAAGGGACTATCAGATAGGAGCAAAGGAGGGATGTGGTCCCCTGCTGGGCTGGAGTGCCAAGGGGGGAGCTGGGTGTTCTGTTCAGAGCCCAGGGACCTGATGGACCCCTGATCCTGCTTCCCACAGAGCAGCTCCACTCCCCAACATCTCCACTGAGCAGCAAGCAGTCCGCACTAGTATGCTTCCAATGCCAGGAAGCTCACTGCCTATGAGCTCAGCCTCTAGCAAGGCTGAGGAATAGCTTTTGGGGCCTGTTTCTGTACCACCACCTCCTTGACTCCTGCGGAGGGGTCCCAAGGAGGGAACCCATGAAGAACTGGGGACCAGAGTCCTCTGGAAGAACAAGGATTCCCTCCAACATGAGAATCATACCCAAAGTAGAGACTATGGAGGTGCCCCTGAGTCCCTGGAGATAATGAATGAATGAATGAATGAATGAGCGAGCTTACATTTATTGAGCATTCCTGTGCCATGCCCTGTGCCAGGCTTTGTTTCATCCTCACTATCATCACCCTCCCATAAGATGTGGACTGAGGCTCAGAGAGGTGCAGGAGTTTGCCCAGGGTCACACAGCACATGAGAGCAGAGCAGGGCCAGGGGTCCTCTGACATCCTAAGCCAGGCTTCCCTTGGCAGCCAGTCTCCATGGGACTGTGGAAACCATCCTCATGTCATTGCCATGGATGGGTCATCACACAGTGTCCACAGCTCAGCACCTTGAACCTTCAACACCTGACAGCCTGTGTGTGGAGCCACCTCTAGCCCCTTCACAACCTGTGGCAGCTTATTCTGGGAGATGTGACATGCCACTTCTGCCTCCCCACTCCCCACCCTGCCTCAGGCTGTGGACTCCTGGGCAGGGACCCTGTCTGATTCGTTATTAGGCACAGCCAGCTGCTCAGTAAATGTTTACTGAATGAATGAACACACAGACAATACATAAAGGAGGCAATGAATGAACGAGTGGTCAGCTCCCCCAGCCAGCCTTCCACAGCCCTCCAGCCCTGGCGTCCTGGCTGTTTGGCCCTCTGGGGGTAAAGGCATTCTGGCACTAGGCCACTCCTGCAACCGGGCCCTGTGGGTCAGGGGGCCTATGGCTGTGCCGAGGCGGGGAACAGCGTGCTGTATTCCTCCTGGAAGGTAAGGTCCTTGAATCTCTGCACGGCCAGGGCTGCGGTCAGGCTCTGCCAGGAGAGAGTGGGGGTGAGGCTGGCAGAGGTGCCGGCAGGGAGGCTGGCTTCAGTGGGAGGGGCAGATGCCTGTCAGTCAAGGTCCTTCAGACCCACCCCTGGAAATGCTGGCATCTAATCACCCACCAGCCTCCATGAGCCAGCCCTGCCCCCATCTCAGGATACATGGCTCCCAAACTCCTTCCTGGAGGGCTGAGTGATCCCCACTCTGGGCACCTTCTGTGGACTGAGATCCCTTTGAGTCAGCTGGTTCTTCCCACCCAGCCTTGAGGACACCAGGGACTAGAGTGACCACAGCTGGCCTGCCAGGGGCTGAACCATAGGGTCCCTCTATACTCTGGTTCCCAATATGGTAGCAGGGGTGGCGGCAGAGAAAAACGGATATCTAAGGACCCTCAAAGAGAGAAAGAAGGCACTCCAGGGTGGGTGAGCTATGGCATGACTCTCTGGAGGGCCAAGGCCTCCTCCTTGCAGAAGGCTGGGCCAAGGACCAAGGGATGTCCCTGAGGGGTGGAAGAGCCTTTGAGATGGGAGCCTAGAACTGATGACATCAGACCTCTGCAGGTAGGAGTCAGGGCAAGGAGACAGATGCTGAGGCGGCCAGAACTGTGAGAGGGTGGGGCCAGTCTTGCTGTCAGGCTACGGGCCCTCGAGACCCCAGCGACAGAGCCTGCAAGGGTGGCCTCTGGCCAGTTGGGCCCAGAAACAGGCTTCTTTGACCCCCAAACTGTTTTTTTTTTTTTAACTGTGAATAAATCCCCGATGTGTAAAGATCAGATTTCATATAACAAGTCAGATCTCTGGTTTCCCCCTGTTTGAGCTGGCACCAGGAGCCAAGCAGAGTGGGCCTGTCCTCTTTGGGCAACAAGCACATACCACTGGCCCACCTCACCCATCCTCACCTCCTGCCTGGCCCTGTGGGTACCTGTGTTTGTGACCCCCCCACACACAGCTCCAATCTATCCCCCCACTTTTACAAATGGGCAGACTGAGGCCTGGCAGTCCTAGGTTGGGGTCCAGGTCTCCTGACCCCAGGCCTGGATTTCTTCCCAGCCTCAAATCCTTAAAGGCCTCAGCTTCCCGTCCAGCCCTCAACTTTCCTATCTGTAGAATGGGGTGACGAATACCAACCACCCAGTGAGGTCGTGGGAGTCCATGGCTCACAGGCAGGCCGCCCTGTAGGGTCTGCCATCACCAAGTGGCTGTCCTCATTAGCCACGGCAGTGGTCTGCTTCCCCAGGGAGACAGCACTACAGACTGAGAGAGGCCGGTGTGGGGGGGGCGGCAAGCAGACACCCATCCCTGTTAAGCTGAAAGGCGGTGGCCCAGGGGGCTGGACTGGGGGCAGGTGAGCGTGGTCTGGTGGCAGCGGCACTCACCCAACTGAAGATGGAGAAGAAGGAGAAGGCAATGGCGGCCCGGGCCGCGTCCGTCCCTTCGTTCAGCGGGTTGTCCTCGGGCTTGGAGACCTGCCACTGGTTGGCCAGGTAGCAGAAGCCCACGAACCAGAGAAAGGCCCAGAAGGCTGGGGGTGTCCACAGGGCCAGGCATACAGAGAGGGGGTGAGAGGGGGCAGAGAATGGGGGTGGGGCAAGGAATGGGAAGATGTTCAGAGCGGATCTCCTCCCCCGACCCCCAAAGGAAGAGGCCAAGGGGTGGGGGTAGGGGCAGGAGCAAGGAGAAGGGGCAGCGGAAACCGAGAAGTCAGTGGGGTTCAGAGGTGAGACACCACAGGGAGGAGACGGAAGCGGCCAGGAGTTACCAGGAAGGTCAGGCAGCGAGTGTGAGCGGAAGGGAGACACGCATGAGAGAGAGAGAGAGAGAGAAGGCAGTCAGCTGAGGCCAGCACGTCATCTCCCAGCTAAACTGACTGAGGCCCCCCTGCCCATTGCTGGGGCTTGCAGCTCTCTGAGGAGGAGCTGGTTCACCCCTCCCCCCGCTCTCCCCTGCCCTGCCCTACTGCAGTCCCCCAGTGAAGTAGGGAGAGAGAGGTAATGAGGAGCCTGTGGGCAAAGGGGCCCAGCTCAACCTGGGAGGGTCTGAGCCGTGACTTCTCCTACATTTGCAGCCTCACCAAGTCCTCAAGTTTGAGTGCAGGTTCCTTTGAGAGCTGATGCTGAGTAGGGAGGTCAGTAGTGAGAGCCTGTGGTCTCCCTGTGGGTGACCAAAGCTACTCAGCTAGGACCAGAGGTGTTCAGGAAGAGCTGTGCACGGGCCAAGGGTGTGGGGGCTCTGGAGGCCAGCTTGTCTCGCACAGGCACCTCTGGGAACCCCTGGTGTGCCACAGGACACAGCTGGAGAACCATATATTTAGTCTAAGCCATTTTGAACTAGAAAGAAGAGACAGAGGCCCAGAGAAGGTGGGAGATGGAGCCCAAGAGATGTGTCTATTTCAACTGTGGGCATGTGACATCTCTCCCCGTGTCAGGCAGCAGAGACTCAGGGCTGTGGAGGCAACCTACTGGAAACAGCTCTGGGTTCTGCTCTGTCCCACTGAAAGGAGTTGGCAGAGACCCTGCCCCTCCCTGGGCTTGTCCCAGCACCTGGCAATGGGGCTGCCTATGTGTTGATGAGCAAGGTGGCCCGAGGGGGCGTTCATCGGGATGGGGGTGGGGGAAGCCTGGGCCTCACTGCCTGACATCAGCCAGACTCCTCCGGAGAGACCCACACCTAAAAACAGGGGGGAGGTCCCAGCTGGAGACTCAAGACCTGACACCTCTGGCCCACATAAAGCATCCACCAATCAGATTCTGGGAGCTCTGGTAGCGTAGTGCCTAAGGCATTTGACTGCTAACCAGAAGGCTGGCGGTTCAAACCCACCAGTCACTCCTCGGAAGGAAGATGGGGCAATCTACTTCCGTAGTGATACTGCCTCGGAAATCCAAGGAGGGGTCGCTATGAGTCAGGTCCAACTCGACGGCACATAACAACAACAACAACAATCAGATTCTTGGAGCTCATGGGGGCAGAAGTCAGAACACCTAGCCAAAGGCCATTTCAGAAGGGCAAAGGTCAGCAGGTCACGTCAGCTCCCCGGCCCAGGTCCTGAGTGACAAACACCACCTGTCATAGACCTCCCTGGTCCGGCTGCGTGCCAGGGCCTGCAGAGTGACCGTTCTGCTTAGTTCTCATGGGACAACCCCCACTCGCCCCGCAGGGGCACAGAAGAGGCCACGAAAACAAGAAATAACTACTCTGATGGCACGTGGCCAGCTCCACTGTGCACTCCCCTCCCCTGCCCTCTGCGGAGCCAGGGGCTACTCTGGGGTCTCTGGCCGGCCCTGGTCCCACCCTTCCCCGCTGCCTGTTGCCAGCCTTTTACCTGGCTGTGCCTCAGTTTCCTCATCTATAAAACGGGGATAAGGTACAGCCACCTCCCAGGTCGGGTAGGATGAGCAGACCAGGGCCGGGCGGCCCTCTGCGGACTGTCTCGTGCCGAGGGGATGCCTGCTGGGGCGGGGGCTCACCTGAGACGCCGATGTCGGACAGGACGGCCTTCTTACGGTCCTTGACGCTACTGATCTGCGGGAAGTACACGTCCAGGGCCAGGTAAAGCATGCAGGTGAGGAAGGCCAGCACACCCACGGTCACGCCGTAGCTGCAGGCGCTGGAGTTACGGTTGTAGATACAGAACTCCTCGCCCTTCAAGGAGCTGTTGAGGTAGCCCTCGTTCACAATGGAGCCGAACACCACGATGGAGAAGACCTGCGAGGTGGGAGCAGCTGTGACCAGGGCGGGGCCCGGCCCGGCCCCCACCCAGCACCGGCCCTAGGGGAGCAGGAGACAGCAGCATGCCCCACCTACAGCCTGCCCCTCTGAGTCTCTTCACCCAGGATAGCCACAAGGCACGCATTTCAGAGGGGAGGCCCAGAAAGGCAAGGTAACTTGCTTGGGGTCACACAGCATGTAGGGTGGGGGTGGGAGGAGTGTCAATCGCTTCCTCCCTCAGCTGTGGGAACACAAGACCCTCCACACACAGATGTGGCCCCCTTCCCCACTCAGCAAGCTCCAGAGAGGTCTTCCTGTCATAGATTCTGTTCCTAAGGGGCTGGTGCCTGACACCAAGATTCCCTGAGGGCTGCACCCGGACTTCCAGAACAAGAGGTCCTCCCCTCACCTCCCAGGCTGACCCCTCTGGATGCTGGCACACCCTCAGCCCCACCTTGAGCTCCTGTGGTCTGTTCTGGGGTCTCGGACCCAGTCCTGGCCCCACCCTTCCCTGCTGCCTGGGCCACCGAGGCTCCCGGAAGGGGAAGGAGCATGGAGTGAAACGTCACACCAGTGACAATCCTGCTGATTATGGACACGGAGTGCAGCGTGTGCACCGCCTCATTTAACCCTCTCCACAGCCTCCGCTGTGACTTCACGTCTGGTACTCTGGTCATGTTGTCAGAAGGGACCATTCCCTGGAGAAGGAGATCACACTTGGTAAAGCAGAGGGTCAGTGAAGAAAGGGAAGACGCGCAAAGAGATGGCTTGACACAGTGGCTGTAATGATGGGCTCAAGCAAAGCAAAGATCGGGAGGCCGGGGCAGGAGCAGGCCGTGTTTTGTTGTGTTGTACATGGGGTCACTATGAGTTGGAGCCGACTCGATGGCACATACCAACAACCACTCAGCCCTCCGTGGTCAGTAAGGTGTCGGCCCAGCGTAGCTACTGAGGTCATTCCCAATGCCTCCTGTTATGGATTGAACTGTGTTTTTTAAAAAAATGTGTTATAATCTTAACCCCTATACTGTGGAGGAGGAGCTCTGGTGGCGCAGTGCCTAAGGCACTTGACTGCCAACCAGAAGGCTGGCAGTTCAAATCCTCCAGCCACTCCTCGGAAGGAAGGTTGGGCAATCTACTTCCGTAGTGATATCGCCTCGGAAACCCAAGGAGGGGTCGGTATGAGTCGGTCTGACTGGATGGCACATACCAACAACAACATACTGTGGAGGTAATCCCATCTGGGAATAGGCCTTGACTTTGTAGGGTGTGTCCTAAAACAATCATTCTTGAGATTTTTAATAAAAAGAGCAGGTTAGGCCCGGAGAGAAGCCAGCAGAGATGGGGAGGATAGATGCCACACCCATGAAGCTCACCAAGAAAACCAGGAACAGAAGTGAGGACACTCCTCAGAGCCAACAGAGAGAGGGCGAGCCTTCCCGTAGGACCGCTGCCCTGAATTCAGACTTCTAGCCTCCCAAGTGGTGAGAAAAGGAGCCTTGGTGGCCAACGGTTAAGAGATCAGCTGCTAACTGAGAGCCTGACAGTTCAAACCCACCAGCTGCTCTGCTCCCGTGAGGATACAGCTTAGGAACCCCCTGGAGCAGTTGGACTCTATCGTGTGGGTTGCTAGGAGTCAAAAATCAACTTGATGGTACCTCAAATAGCAATAAACTGTGAGAAAATAAATTTCTGTTCGTGAAAGCCACCCACTTGTGGTATTTCTTTCATAGTAGCACTAGAGAACCAAGGCACCCCAGCTTCTGAGGTTCACTCCCTTGTGTGGACCCCTCCCCTTGAGCAAGGCTGAACCTCACTCTGAGCTTGCTTCTGACAAACAGAATATGGCAAATGTGATGGGGTGTCACTTAAGATCAGGTGACAGACCGTGGCTTGTGGCTTCTGTCTTGCTTGTTCATGCTGACGGAGGCCAGCTACCTTTGAGTCTGCCCAGAGGCACCCTGAATGAAGGGCCTGGTGACCTGTTTTCAAAAATTCAGCCACAGAACAGAGCCCAGTTCTACTCTGACACACGTGAGGTCATCATGAGTCAGAATCAACTCAAAGGCAACCGGTTTATGGAGAGGCCCGTGGGGCAGGGAACTGAGAGAGGCCTCAGCCAATGCCAGCAGGAACTGAGCCCCTCAGTCCGACAGCCACAAGGAACGGAATCCTGCCAACAGCCACTAAACGAGCTTGAATGTGGATCTGCCCTCAGATGGGCCTTGAGATGAGGCCCCAGCCCCTGCCAACACCTGGACTGCAGCCCATGAGAGACTCTGAGGCAGTGGTACCCGCTCAGCTGCCACACTCCAGACTCACAGAAACTGTGAGGTAAGAAATGAGTGTTGTTTTAAGCCACTAAGTCTTGGGGTAATTTGCTACACAGCAATCGGTAACAAATACATTCAACTCATCAGCATTTTGTAGATGAGAAGGCTGAGGACCAGAGGTTGGTTAAGGTTCCTAGAGTCACACAACTGGTCAGTGGCAGAGCTGGGCTTCAAACTCAGGGGACCTGACTCTAAAGTTCAAGCCTTTTCCCTGTGCCTCTTGCCTCCAGTGAAAACATGTAAGGATGACTGGAGGTTTAGGGTCATGGGTTCGTGGGACATCACAGTTAACTGACCCGAAAACATGCTGAGTGCTTCTGTTCTACTTCCTAGTTTGTTGCATAGTATCTAGGGTCTTAAAAGTTTGCAATCAGCCATCCAAGGCGCAGGATTCTTTTATTACAAATGAGTTGAACATGCGCCTGAGGTAGGTACATCCCTTGGAGAGAATAATCATGGGAGAAAGACATGCACAGGGAGACAGTCAGGGGCAGGAATGAATGGAGGGATGGACACAGGGAAGAGGTAACTATCAGGAGGAAGTGGGAGGGGAGGTGTTGCATTGGGGTAAACTGTCAGTGTCATCAGACAACGTGTATGTGAACTGCTGTATGGAACAATTGGTCTCCATTCACCTGAAACAACAGAGGAAGAAGGAGGGTCAGGACTCGGAGAATATGGAATGTGTGACTAATGGCCTCCTTTGCCATGAGACCAGAAGAACTGCATGGTGCCCAGCTACCATTCCTGAATAGTTTGATCAAAGTTTCTATAGAAGAATCCTGATCAAAAGGGGGGAAATGTGGAACAGAATTTCAAAATCTCATGGACTCTAGACTTTCTGGAACCATGGAGGGTGGACAAACCCGAGATGATCTTTGAACCTTAAACCAAAAATATTCCTGAAGTCTCCTTAAAACCAAAAATTAGTTTAGCCAAAGTACAGGCATGTGAGTTAAACATTTACGTCAAGTAGATACACGCCCTAGAGAGAACAATCATGAGAGAAGGAAGGGCTGCTTATGCACAGGGAGACAGCTCAGGGCGCAGAAGGGTATGGAGGGATGGACACTGGGAAGAGGTAACTGTGGGGGGGAGCTGTTGCATTGTAAATTTTGGTCAATGACATGAGACAAAGTATATGTGAACTGCTGTATGAAAAAGTGAATTTACTCTGTAAATCTTCACCCAAATCAAAAAAAAAAAAAAAAAAAAAATTAGTTTAGCTTAACTATTTAAAAAATGCCTGCCTTGAGTATTCTGCTCTTTTAAGAACTATCTGTAGGGGATCAAAGTGATAACAGCACCTTGAAAGATTAGCTAGCAACCTCAGGGGTAGGGAGTTTGTGTTAATGGGGGAGGGAAGAACAACTCAGAAAAGGAGGGTTAGAATGGTTGCACAACTCAAGGAATGTCATGAATGTCACTGAATTGTACTCGTAGAAGCTGTTAACTTGGTGTATGTTTGGCTGTGTATATGTTCAACAACAACAAAATAAGTTATTAAAAGAAAAACAGACCTGAGACCAAAGAAGTGAGGCTATCCAGGCAGAGAGAGCAGCCTGGACAGGGCCTGGAGGACAGGACAGTCGGTATGACTGGGGCCTGGGCAGCATGCTGGGTCGCCAGGTGGGGAGCAACAGGAAGTCATGACTTCAAAGCAACTGCACAGGGGCTCCTGAGCTGGTACATGACAAAGCCTAGACGAGCCAGGACGACTCTGCACAACAGGAGATGGAGGTGGCACAGATGGCCAGTCTGCATGAGCCATGCACTGCATGACCCCAGGGGGTGCCACGCACACAGCCGCCGGGACCTGTGCACTGCAGCAGGTGGCCCTTGGTTCCTGAGATGCTCCTACAAAAACCCAGCAGATGGGAAATCTGAGGCCCAGACCTGGACGTTCCGGATGCCACCTACCAGCAGAACAGAAAAGCCCCCTGATGAGAGACGTCAGTCATGTCATATGGCCCTGCAGATTCAAATCTAGGCCTGCTGCTGGATGCTGGGTGGCCTAGGACAAGTGCCTCTACCTCTCTGAGCCCCAATGTGGTCCTCTATCTTCCCCTCAAGGCCGACAGGAGGATTACATACAAGTATCCAGAGCAGAGGAGTCCTTGGGTGGCTGCTAATCAAAGTGACAGCTTGAGTCCACTCACAGGCTCCTCAGAAAGGGCTGGTGATCTACTTCCGAAAAATCGGCCACTGACTGGGCCTGCCCCCTGGTCTTGGGGGACATCAAGCTCAACCGTCACAACACAGTCCATAAAAATCTTCTTCCACACCCTACTTTGGTAAGTAGTGACTGGGGTCTTAAAAGCTTTCCAGCACCCATCTAAGATGCAACTATTGGTCTCCCATCACCTGGAGCAAAGAAGAGTGAAGAAAATCAAAGTCAATATGGAAACAATGAGTCAAAGGATATGATGGACCTTGGGCACCTTCACAACCCTGAGACCAGAAGAACTAGATAGTGCCCGACTACAATGCTAACCACTTGGAAAGGGATCAAAATTGCAGACCTTGGATAGAGTGGGAGGAAAATTGTTGAACAAAACTAAAAAACACAAAAGTAACCAGAATTACTGGTCTGATAGAGACTGGCAGAACCCCCAAGACTATGGCCCTGGGTTATCCTTTGGGCCTGGAACTGGACTCACTTCC